GACTACATACTTAAGCCAGACACGGGGTCTTTCCATCGAATAGAAAGGTGCTTTCTTATAAGAGAGGTCACCTGACCCGTCATTGTAATCCAGGTCGACCCGAAAGTAGCTTGGGTCATCGTTTAATGGCAGGTAATTCAGGGATGGCAGCCAGAGGTTGTTTTCTTCAGTTACCTGGCCCATCCTGACTATTGCCTGCTAGCTTGGACCATAACAACGCCGGACTTTGTCTGGTCAAAGGAAATACAATTTCAATGTTAACTGTCGATGAAAGGGAGAAGTGGTTTAGATGTACCATAAAAGTTTTGTCAAGGGATAAAACAAGAGTGCTAGGAAAGATTGGTTGATGACGGTATAGAGCAGCAGAAAAGTGTTAGTAAAGATTGTTTGATGCTGGTATTGAGCAGTAGCAGCGGGTATGGAAGTGGTTGATGGCGGTATAGAGCAGCAGAAAAGTGTTAGTAAAGATTGTTTGATGCTGGTATTGAGCAGTAGCAGCGGGTATGGAAGTGGTTGATGGCGGTATAGAGCAGCAGAAAAGTGTTAGTAAAGATTGTTTGATGCTGGTATGGGGCAGTAGCAGCGGGTGTGGAAGTGGTTTATTGCGGTATAGAGCAGTAGCAGCGGGTGTGGAAGTAGTTGATGGCGGTATAGAGCAGTAGCAGCGGGTGTGGAAGTAGTTGATGGCGGTATAGAGCAGTAGCAGCGGGTGTGGAAGTAGTTGATGGCGGTATAGAGCAGTAGCAGCGGGTGTGGAAGTAGTTGATGGCGGTATAGAGCAGTAGCAGCGGGTGTGGAAGTAGTTGATGGCGGTATAGAGCAGTAGCAGCGGGTGTGGAAGTAGTTGATGGCGGTATAGAGCAGTAGCAACGTCTTAGAAAAGATTGTTTGATGCTCGTGCAGATAAGTTTATAATGACAATGAACATTAAACAATTTCAGATTTAGAAATGCAAAACATTAAGTCTCAAGAGATGCGTAAATTTAGCATACGGTTTGCAAAAAAAGAATTATTTGCATTTTAAGCTATTATAATTGTTTCAAATAGCATAATTAATAGTATAAAAATGTATATTTCAAATCGTAAACAATTTTTAACAAAATAATAATTTCAAGAATTCATTAATATCAATCAAATGTAACTTACCCGTATCTCTAACCGTGGACAAATTAATAACATTAGGAGATTGTTGCAAATGAACTTTGGTCTACCATTTATTCACGCCCGTATCAAATATTGAAGATAATGTACAAAAACATTTATCTGGAAAAAATCCAAACTTAATTAAAAGATGGGAAGTAAAAAATGAGTTCATTTTGAACAGAGAACATTCCCCCCTAGTAAACATCTACGCAGAATACCTCGGCACTCGCGGAAATTCCCGCACCTGGGAACATCTGGTGTGCAACATTTATTCATGTCTACCAACGAAAAACAAGACAAAACCACAAACCAAATTAATAAAAACTTGTGAATGGCGACATGAGGCGTTTTGAATATTTGCATAAAACTTTTGTGTCTGAATTATCAGCTCGCTGGACAAGTTCTTAGGTGGTTTCTACACAGAGACTCAGATAGTTACACTGTGGCTCGTTGGACAAGTTCTTAGGTGGTTTCTACACAGAGACTCAGATAGTTACACTGTGGCTCGTTGGACAAGTTCTTAGGTGGTTTCTACACAGAGACTCAGATAGTTACACTGTGGCTTGTTGGACAAGTTCTTAGGTAGTTTCTACACAGAGACTCAGATAGTTACACTGTGGCTCATTGGACAAGTTTGTTAGGTAGTTTCTACACAGAGACTCAGATAGTTACACTGTGGCTCATTGGACAAGTTTGTTAGGTAGTTTCTACACAGAGACTCAGATAGTTACACTGTGGCTCATTTGACAAGTTTGTTAGGTAGTTTCTACACAGAGACTCAGATAGTTACACTGTGGCTCATTGGACAAGTTTGTTAGGTAGTTTCTACACAGAGACTCAGATAGTTACACTGTGGCTCATTGGACAAGTTTGTTAGGTAGTTTCTACACAGAGACTCAGATAGTTACACTGTGGTCTGGGAAAACTTCAGTTTAAATTTCAAATAATTTGTAATTTTTTTTGTTTTGTATTTTCGGCCCAGTTCTTATAGATCGCCACAGGCTTCCTGTGAGTGACCGCATTGACCACACAATTCTGTCCCTAGCCGATAGCTGTTTAGAAGGCTCTGCACCTGTATATCTTCAAAAACTGCTCTTCAGCACAGTCCTGACTGAGGGTTTCAAGTGTGTATAGACACAGGAAAAAGTCATAGGGAGTGTGCTCTTTGGAAGCTATTGCGCCTAATTTGTGGAACAGTTTGCCTCAGTCTTTGAGGGACACTGACAATTATCAAAAGTCATTTAAGAAACATTTTAATTTAAAGACTTTTTCTTTAATTAGATTTTAGTTACATCAGAGCGCTGTGAACACGCTAAAACAGTATGACACAATCACTATAACAGTACTCAATCATCAGAGCGTGGAGAGCATGCTAAAACAGCATGGACACAAGTGCTATAAAAGTACTCAATCAATCGATTTAGCCGATACACCATTTGAATTCTTCTATCTTGTTTTTTTTCAAGCTTAAACATATCTTGTTCCGCCATGTATTTACTTCGCATGGTTTGAATGCTGTCCTCACTTACATTATTCTAAGACATGGGGAAATTCAAGTCATTATAATTATAAGTACAATATAAGCCATTCTGAACTTTGAAAACTTGAGCTTTTAAGTCTTGCTTACTTCTGTTGCTAGGTCATGGCGTAAGTTTGAGCTTCAGTAAACTGCACGCTCATTATTATAAATTATTAATTTTTTTTCTTTAAAAGTTGACTTGGCCATCACAATAAGTTCAAGTGTGGACGTCTGGACGTACATCACAATAAGTTCAAGTATGGACGTCTGGACGTACATCACAATAAGTTCAAGTGTGGACGTCTGGACGTACATCACAATAAGTTCAAGTGTGGACGTCTGGACGTACATCACAATAAGTTCAAGTGTGGACGTCTGGACGTACATCACAATAAGTTTAAGTGTGGACGTCTGGATGTACATCACAATAAGTTCAAGTGTGGACGTCTGGACGTACATCACAATAAGTTCAAGTTAATAACACACGAGTAAACAAATGCCATTACAGCAACATCAATAAGAAAAAAATCAAGACAGATTGCATTGTTAGATTCCAGGTTGTATTTGTCACAGCAACAACATGGGGTACAATTATATACACATTCATTTACAAATTGCTCATCGCCATTCAAACTGTCATGGGTGCCATCTCCAACAAAATATCTACAGCCAAGATAGTAATAGTAATAGTAAGCTTTCAGAGGCATCACAAACTTTGGATGCTCATATCAGATACATTTCAAATGAACAATAGAAATTAATATCAAGTATGTTCTGAGCAGGGAGGTAACTTGGTAACTAACGATAAAGCAAGGGAAACAATTCATGTTCACTCTTCAAGTTCACTTGATTGTCCCTTCCAATAAGATAAGACACTATATGCCCAGGGAATATACAACTAAAAGACAGCCATGTGACCTGAGAATAAGAGTGCTGGACTTGCACTTGCTATTTTCCTCGATATTGTTAGCTATTAACAGGTCTTGATAACTTTAGAAAATCCTCTTCTTTGAAAGTCTGGGCAATAAATGGCAGTTAGGATCAACACTCAAAGAATTTAACTTTAGGAAACTGACTGGATTTAGTCAACCTGGACTGAATCTTAACAAAATAAAATCAATTTTTCACATCATCACACAATCAACTTGTACACAATCTAGGATTACCTTCACAACAATATCATCAGCAGTAAATAATTCTATTACCGTGCCTTATATCAGTTGTAAATCAAGTTTTAAAAAATGGCTAAAAAATGAGAACAAATTACACCTGGAATTTTAATAATAATAAATCTTTAAAGCACACCTATCAAAAAAAATCTTTAAAACAAAACTAATGAGATTGATTAGGTACATGGTTAACAAAGGATAAGATTTACCTCAACACGTATTTTACATTCTCAAACATATGAAATGGTATTTGAACAAAATATGGGTAGAAAATCTTTTGGTCAAAAAATGTCTTAATGATGTGAAGATAAAAATTTGACTTTTGAGCGGCATTCCCCCCAACACCAACCCCCAACACCAACACCAACCCCCACCACTGCAAACATTAAAGCCTGTAACTATTACATTTTTTAGGAGTAGTATGACTGACTCAGGAATGCAACAAGTGATCTATTCACATCCAGTATGATAACAGTTGTGTTTTGATCAACTTTTTGTCTTTTGAAATAAAAGCACGATAGGAATTGTAGTTAAATTTGTCAAAAAATAAATGGAAAAAATGAATATCTCCTCGACAAACTGCTTCGTTTGGTCAGCGGCAGAAATGATGTTTTTCAATGGTTTTCAACCTTCCCAGAACATGTACAGATTTATGACCTGGCACCAAAAATCAGCAGATGTATCATCAACTGATCTACCCTAAACCAAATAAAATCTGAAAAGCCATCCATTCCGTAGGAGAGATTTCTGGCCATCCTCAGCTTCTAAATAAGCATGCAAGCAGAAGGATCATTGGGTAATAGAGGTAAACAGTGCCAAGATTTTTGCTTTTACATTTGAAATGTCTCTGGGTGCATCCAACATTAGCAAGTCCACGTGAGGCAATGTCTCTGGGTGCATCCAACATTAGCAAGTCCACGTGAGGCAATGTCTCTGGGTGCATCCAACATTAGCAAGTCCACGTGAGGCAATGTCTCTGGGTGCATCCAACATTAGCAAGTCCACGTGAGGCAATGTCTCTGGGTGCATCCAACATTAGCAAGTCCACGTGAGGCAATGTCTCTGGGTGCATCCAACATTAGCAAGTCCACGTGAGGCAATGTCTCTGGGTGCATCCAACATTAGCAAGTCCACGTGAGGCAATGTCTCTGGGTGCATCCAACATTAGCAAGTCCACGTGAGGCAATGTCTCTGGGTGCATCCAACATTAGCAAGTCCACGTGAGGCAATGTCTCTGGGTGCATCCAACATTAGCAAGTCCACGTGAGGCAATGCTTGTACCCAAAAGTATTAACAATTTTTTATATTCAGCTGAATATATAACAGCCCTGAAATTATGAGTTTAAGCAGTTACAAAGATCAAACTAAAACATTGACGTGTAAAAAAAAAAATACAAAAAAAAAAAAGAAAAAGTTATCTCTGTAATCAAAATTTTAAACCAAATTGATCAATTTTTTAAAAAGATAAAGAAAATATTTGCAGCAACAGTTGCACACATTTAAAGAAAATAAAAATATTGTTTACCTTTAATTTGTTACGGAGATTTCAGGTCAAGTTCAATTTGGATTAACTATTTAACACACAAAATAAATGTCTGTTAGAAAGTGACATGTACCATGTAAACAAAAGGCTGCAACAACCAATAGGCATTTTATTTTCTTAAATACTTCTGAATGCATGTGTAATGCATTCTATAAGTTCACATTAGACAGGAATTACAATGATGTAAATGGTAATTCTGAAAATGAATCTGTGACTAGTCTTAGTATTTCAAGCCGCCATTAAAGTTATCTCTCATGTCAAATTTCTCTCAAATTTCAAGGTTAAAACTGAAAATATGTCCTCCAAAACTGTTGTGGCTACTGACTGGCACTCGTTATCTGAACCGAATGATGACCCAGCACATGAAGAACACAAAGAAGGCAAACAGGATGATGTACAGCCAAATTTTCCAATGTCCAGCGTTGGTTATAGATTTAAGTCTGCCCATGGTCTTGGACAATAAACCACCTGAAGTTTCCATGTCTTCGTCCTAAATCACCAGGAGAAATAAAGACAAAAGAAATATATCACCTCAGTAGAAATATGTCACCTGAGATAAGATGTCAAGTTCGAATTACAACAAAACAGGCTAACTTAGCGGGAAATAATAGTTTTATACTGCTAGTATTTGATACACAATCATGGGTTGCAGCTGTTATAAAAAGTTGAATAATACAGAGGGATTTGCTTGTAATATGCCAAGAGCTTACCATTTGGGATAGCCATTTATTCTGTTCTCGTACCTCCACACCAATATCAATTGTAAGCTGAAAATTAGAAGAATTATAATTTTAAAATTGTATAATCTTAATTTAAAACAAAGAACACATTTATTTAAAAGAAAGAACACATTTTCATGTCAAAAAACCATGTATATAAAATTGAAATGGTGGCTTTGTTGCATACAGCATTATTTTAACTTGAAAATGGACACAAGCATAAACCTAACAAAAATTAAAAAATAAGATGCTTAATTTTTTAAAGAACTCTTAGGTATTTTTCTGTGATGAAGACTTACGGAACGAAGAGCCTTGACTTTTCCTTTTAGTTCATTTTCCAAATGTTCGTTTTCTTCTTCCAACATTTGTGATGTGTCTTTATACTGCGTTGTACCGCCATTTGCTGAGAAGCCAAAAGAACTTTCGTTAAAGGTGAGCATATTTACATGTTAAATTGGTCTGCTTGACCCATTACATTACGGCACCGACTAAATAAACTAAAATTTAAATAGGATTGTACAAAGGAGTTGTAGAAAGGCCAGAGAAGATAACTCCATCAAATGCTCTCATTACTTAATTATACCAGATATTTAAATGGGAAATAGTCCATGAAGACCTTTTTTGTATTAGCATGCAACACTTTTTTGGCAATCCTATACATTAAAAAATTACAATAAAATCATATTTTCCATGAATATTTTTCACGTGGATTTTATGATAAATTTCATCTTGTGATTGCCTTCACCCTGAAACGAACTTCCACACCCAGCTAGGAACTTCTTAAGCCATCCATAGTACAGAATAGGATAAAAAAATTTATGATGTAGTACCTGTAGCCAAAACTATATGTAACGTTTCTTAAACTTTGTTTAAGCTTAATATAAACTTTAGTTGATTAAACCTTCCTCCCCTTCAAAACTGCCTAATTTGTGAAATTGGTTAATAATCAACCTGGGATGTCCATCAAAAGAAAATTCTGCGACTGCTCGAACCATTCTTATGTAGCCTATCCAAATGAACGCAAAGTAATACCAGATACTATTCTTGCATATTTTCTTGCATCTCACAATGCTCATCTGGCTCAGATGGGCTTGGAAATTAGTATAATTCAAGATGTCCAATAGTGCTCTCAAGATAAAGTAATATTGATACCAAAGCAAGGACACATTAAAGAAATAAAAATTGATCTCATTCCCAGGTGCGAATTCAATTTTATTGATTTAGCAAAAATTTCTGTCATATCATCAATGTCACATGTGATGTCTTTTGAGTTTGAATTCAGCAACAAGATAATAATTTGTGCTAACAAAAGTCAGTATGGAGCAGACAAGTCTGCATAGCTCTCAACACAGATTGCAAGAATAGCCAGTCATTGAGAGCATGCGCTTAAATTAAATTCATTGCAGTAATTGTGATCTGTGAATTTTTTAGCAGCCCTATGTTGATGATGATTGGAACATATAATAATCAAGACATGCTGCCCTGTTGTTTTCATGGAATAAGCAAAAGCCAAAGGTTGCAGCCAGTCATTGATGGTGCTCCATACAGCTCAGTTAAGCTGAACCCAAAGGTTGCAGCCAGTCATTGATGATGCTCCATACAACTCAGTACCAATAAAATACATCCGTTAATTAGTAAGACACAAACAGATTTTTTCTGAAATAAAATAGTACAGTTAAGCCAAGGCCTTCAACAGCACATCAGCCTAATTGTCTTTAATTTGTAGCTTAATGTTAAAGCTTAACTAAACTGTTTAAAATACACCAATTTTGTGTGTCTTATTGATTTGGATAAACCTTTGCCTCAGTCCAAACGCCTTGTAGTTAGCTGTAATAACATCTGTAATAACATAAAAAATCCAGGCACAAAGATTCACTGTCATCTCAATGTTGATTTTGGAGTGATATAAAACTGATTTTTCAGCTTGAGCCTTGTGCCTCATAAATGTAAACCCCATTAATAACTGGTCAAATAAGTTCTTGACTGATTGCTTGGCTTGCTCATTGTTTAGCTCTTACACAAAAAAAGGGGTTGGCAGTGAGGGTATTGAACCTTTTTAGATGCTCATTTGGGAAACACTGTGCTAAAAGTTGTAAGCTCACAGGCCTAGCTCAGTATAAATCAAATAAATGTTTTGTTAATAGCCACTCTTTTGAATAAATTTCAAAATTCTTTTCTCTTATTCTTGAATACATGTAGGGGAAGAGGGATTATATGATGAGCTGGTATATCTTTCTTTTTTTAAAAAAAATAGTCTACTTTTAATAAAACACAAAATTATTTCCCCAGTGTGTTTATTTATTTATTTATTTAGGCATTTTTATATAGCGCTTATCATAAAGCTCTAAGCGCTTTACAGTTATTAAAACATGTAAACTAAGTAAATACAAATGAGACAATAGGATAGTAACTACTATTCTATAGAAACAATGAAAATGGCTATAAAAAGAGGACACTTTGACACTTCAGGATTAAACCGAAACAGAAAATTAGGTAGGGCAAGGAGGGTGTTCCACCCAGAAAGTTGAAATGCAAGAATCTAAAAAAATTCAAAAACATTGGTAGATTATAGAATCTTCGGCTACGGGTTAAGTAAATTTAATTATTAACAAAAAGTTTTCAAAATACGAATCTAAAATTTTGTGTGGTTCTGTACTATACATTAGTTGTTTAAATATGAAAGCAATAAAATTTGGTGCAGTAATTCTTACATGCCAATTGACATGATCAGCAAGCATTTTTTTTAACACACGTGTAGAAGAATAACAATATTTTGTATGGTCTATGACTCTATCTAGTTGGAACCATATATTAACATTAATTTGAAAGAGCTGTTTATACTTGGCAATATTCTGTTAAGACTTTACTAAAGTCACTTTAGAAAATACTATAATATGTTTGTGGAATTCATTTGGATTAGTGAGCATGTGATTGTAAATATTCTATGAGAACCCCTGGGGCAAGAAATTGTTGTCATATCTTGTGGCTTGTGGAATATTCTAAATATTTCATGTTTTTTGTTTAAAGTTAATTTCAAAGGCTAAAGTATCAATCTTGATGATGAGTGATGAGACCAGGTTATCTAATTTTCTTTGATGATTTGTGTCAACTCAAAGGGATGGAGGGAATATTAATACTATTAATATTTTATTATTATAATATTAAATTATTGTCACCTGAAGCTGTCACTAATACTAATACTATTATTATTAGTCAGTATTGACCAAAATAGTGCCATGTTAATTAAGGATGGCCCATAACCATAACTAAGTAGGCCCATATTAATATTCAATATACTGCCTTATATACTTATATTATATAAGTTAACTGAATTCATTATTTATATTTAGTCTTATTCTTATCTTTAGCTTGGTTTCAATTTTAACCTATACTATTTTTTTGTATAGTTCAGTAATTAAAACAGAATTAACTGAAAATATCTTACCAAGATAAGAACGCCTCATTTTATAGAATTAATCTACAAATTCAGAATTTTCATTTATAAAGTAATCTGTGCGTAGTTTTGTTTATTTATTATCCATTATGTGGAAAAATAAACGTCAGCGACATACGTGTACTTCCGGAAACATTACCTAACATTTAAAAAACAGAAGAGTAGCAATGACTTAAAAGATTTTCTTCCTTTAGAGAGTTGCCTAATAAAATAGTGCAACATATTTTTGTTTGTGATAATATAATTGGAGCCGAAATTATGTAATAAAAAGTAACAATAATATTAAATCAAATTCTAAAGAAACATTTAAATATTAGTTGAAAAATTCAAAAGTTAACTAAAGTTTAAATTTAAAGAAAAAAAAAAGCTAAGAATATAAGAACAGGAAAGCCCCAACAGAAACAGACATTAGATTTTAGATAATGGGAAAGAATAGTCTACATAGAGTTTTAAAGTAAAAATAATTTACACAGCATTCATCTCTCCCCCCTCCCGTCCCCTCATCAATTCTCTCTCTCTCTCTCTCTCTCTATATATATATATATATACATTTATATTTATATATATACATATATATATACATATATATATACATATATGTATGTATGTATGTATATATATATATATATATATATATATATATATATATATATATATATATATTTATTCACACAATAATAAATAAATGTTTACAAATGAGATTTGTCTGCAAAAACCAGAAAGAATATATACAATAGTTAAA